ACCCTGCAGTGTTTTCTCCTTATTGAAAAAATACCCCTTTAAACGAGCACGATTCTTTCAGTAACGACTCTTCTTGCACAAGAGAATGGCTGTGATGTTTCTTGGATTTCTTTTTCTTCTGATTTTACCGACAAGGCAACTTTGTAAGCACATGCTTTTGTGTCAGACGGCTAGTTTGCAGTGTTACGCAGTTTGCAGTGTTGCTGCTGCTGCTGCTCATAATCTCGGCTGTGTGCTGTTGTAGGGATTTCTGAACCATGCAATACAGATTTACAGCACTGTGCCCGCTTTTACATGTCTAAAACAGAAACCAGGGGATATTTCGTGTGTAAAAGCGCGATCATTTTGTATGAAATTATTTTGAAAGTCGATGTGTTTTTTTTAAACGTCATTGCCAGTTTTAAGTTTTGTCTTTGACACTAGCATATAGTTAAAAGCGTTTCGTATTCAACTAATTAGCTCGTTTGTGTTGTAAAATACCGATGTTCTGGCGAAGAAGTTGGAAGTTATAGGATCTAGTGGTGATCTTGTACTGTGGGGCTCGCTTATGAGTAGTGGATATTAGCCTGCTAGCACTGACCCTGGGAATTAATTTCAAGCTCCGCACAATAAAAAAAAAGGTTGAAAACATTTAGATTTTTTTTAGACTCTGGATGTTAACCTCTCGCATCTCCCTGAGGTTAATTTTGGGGAGTTTTCCATGGTCAGTAATTGTTTTGTACAAATTTGTGCTTGCAGTTTAAATCCTAAAAAAGTCCCTGTTAAGCACCCAATACATAATGTTCATAACCGTCTGGCCGTCTTGACCTGTACTGATCAGAAGCGCTTTGTCCTTGAATAGTATATGGATGTTGTTATGTGCTTAATTACCAAGTCTTTGTTATCTGTGGCGTGCAATGCATTAAATGAAAGAACCTGAGCAAAAATTAAATTAAGTTGAACATATATACATATATTTTCTCAATAGGGAGTTTTTCCCCCTGATTAGTGAGTCGGTGGGATCATTTGAAACTGGCACCCCAGTGTCAGCTGTAGTCAGCTGCTGCTAGCTTGTAAAACTGCAGTAGACTCGCCAGGTCGTGGTTAGTGGTTCTGGCGATTAGCAGCGCTCTGATAAATATTGATAAGCAAGCGCACTTCTCCTTTACTGACTCGCATAGTCTTCCTGTAAAGAGACCTATTAGTGTATTAATCCTGTTTCCGGTAGTGCTGCTTGGTTTCATTGTGGCTCGCTCTGCACAGCACCCTGTAAGGAGGACTGTGGAATTTCTTGGTCGTGGGTGGATTTTTGGTGTTACGTCACCCTTTCCATAGTCTTTCCCGAGCGTGGTATCTCAAAACGCATATTCTGCCTTTGCACAAGGATGCTGTTTCACATCTGCTAAGGTACCTCTCCGTTTTAGCTATGCGTACACGCCCCCAAAATAAAAAAAAAGAAAAGCTCTTTGACCATTATTCTAAAGGTGACTATCGAGCTCTCATCTGTATACAGAACGAGCCCGCGTGGCTTTATTGAGCTGAGGCAGGTGGTTCAGTGATAAGAATGCTGCGCATTGAATTCATCGCCCATCAAGGATGCACTATTTCCATTTGTTTTTACAGCCTCATTCATGCAGCTCACATTCTCCCTGGAGACGCCTGGGCTTCAGAATATAGAGGTTTCCGCAAACAGTGTCAGACCCAGCCTTCTAGTGATGCGAAGCGATAGGCCACCATTGTGCCATAATGTAGGTCAGGAAAACAAAATATGCTGCCGAGTTTTACTTTGAAAACATCAGAATATTTAATGACGTCACACTTCTGATTTTTTTTTCCCAGTGGAACACCAGGAAAAAGGACAGCCTTCCTTTGGTCACTTTTTTAAAAAAAAATTGTGAGCGTCTACAAGCGATGTTGGAGAAATGCTCCTTATTCGTATAAATGTGTAATAAAGACGTGTGCGAAAACTAGATGACTTGAGTTTTTCGTAGACGTTTTAAACCGAGGTGTGACTTTTCCCTGTGTGGTCATGTGTTCATGTGGCAGAAGATGATCTTTGTGGATGTTTGAAATGGCAAAGACACTCCGCACGAGTAATCAGAAGCTGCAGAGGCACTTGGTGCAGAAGCATACGTGTTCTTTCATTATCAGTAATCTCTGGAATTGGAGGCATGCAGTTATTTTAATCCTCACTGTGTACTAAACTGATTGTGCAAAAATCTGATTAAAAGAGACTTATAGTGCAGTGCTTACAGCTTTGAGAGGTTTTGCAATAATTAAAGGCTTCTTAGTTCTGAAACATACTGCTGTTTAAATTATTATAGACTTTGCAGAGAAGTATCAATATTGATATAATTTTTTTCACTTAGAAATGTGTTGCATCCAAATGCTGCTGGTTACTTTGTAATCATAATGTGCTCCTTACTTGCCACAGATGCTTATGATCAGTATCTTGCATTTACCCGCTGTGATGATCCAAATCTGAAGTTGGGATTAAGTGTCATCTTCGGTAGTAAAATTAATGTTAACAGACATGACCAGCATCCTGAAGAGCTGTGGAACATGATCTCTTTTGACGATATCATGCTTCTTTTCATAAATGACTGCATGAGATGCTCTGATCAGTTACCTGCTTGTAGCTGAAAGGGTTAGATGGGCCCAAAGTCAAGAGCTCGTGTGAATATAAAAAACTGCAATCTTTCATCTTGTCTGGATGCAGTCAAGATCCTTCCCTCCATCCTTTAATTTCACTCCACTTTCCCTTGCGTCCCAGCAGCAGCAAGTCATGTAGGCATGTAGGCCATCTAATTTTTTTAACCTCCCCATCAGATTCCTAACCCCCCTATCCTGGATTCCTGAGCTTTCCCAGACTAGCCAAAAGGTCCCTCCAGTGTGCCCTGGATTGACCTCAAGGTCTCCATCCAGTAGTTCTTTAAAGAAGCCTCCCATGGGGCATCAGGTGCCCGAACCATCCCCGCTGGCTTCTCTCGATCTGGCGGTGTTTCCTCTCTCTTTTGAGGCTGTCTTGGGATAGCCGAGCTCCTCGGCGTGCCGTGGAGGGCCGGCCCGACAACTGTGTCGAGATACTTAATTTCCTCAACTTACGCTTCCTGTCTTGGCCGTTTAATCATTGCCTAGAGTTCATGGCCATCAATGAGGGTGGGGACATAAATCGCCCTCTAAATCGGCTCTGCTCCTACTGCACCACCATAACTGACACAGCGCCTGCAACACTGCTAGTGGCACCCCAATCCTGCAGCCAGCTACCAATGACAGATGTTTCCTCTTCATCTCTCTGGCATAGGCTGTGCTGGGGAGGCTGAGAAGCGTGGTACCGCTGTAGTTGATCTTCACCATTTGCTTCCCTTTCTTAAAAATGGGAGCCTCTTCACCCCTTCCCCAGGATGCTGAACTAGGGGTGGTGTCCCTGTCTCCACTCAGCATTGAAGACATGCGTTATCCACAACACCCCATTGCCTCCGGTAAGGAGAGAGTTTCCACTGGCTTAAGGAGTTCCTCCGTGCTCTTTCCAGATCGTGATTGGTGATTTCCTCCATTGAGGTTGGCATATCGCCACCCTTGCCAAGAACAGCCCTGACAATGTCTTGCCAACAACTCCTAAGATTTTTTAGAGCATCTTTGAGACATTGCAGTAGTCAATTCTATTCCTTATCCAAAGTCCTCCTGAGATTGCGCTTTGTGAGACCAATATATGAGCATTGCTCAGAAGGCCTCTCATCTTCCACTTGAGTTTCTCTCACCACTGATGTCCACCAGTAAGTCTTAGGGTGGCTGCTATGGGCATTAACCACATTCTGTCCACATCTTTTTGTGTCTGCCTTGGTGGTTGAGGTCCTAGACACAGTCATCTCGGACATAGTGGCCAAATTATCACTTGGAATAAAAGAGAAGGCCTTAATGAGGGGAGAGTGGGCTTTTTTCCCTACACAGAGTTCATGCATTGTGTGGATTTTCTAATCTGAACCGCTTTCATTTTTGATTTACCCTTTTGTTTAGTATAAAATCCCAGCTATTGGATAAACACTTGAGTTTTAATACCAGCCTATTTATACTGAAAATAATTAAGAATTGTCCTTGGGGGCAATCATTCTGCTTAATTTTTGTTCTCATTTTATTTAGCTTTTTTGCTTACTTTGGGTTTGGGATGGGATTAAAATTCTTTGTTTTTGGTAACCGGTTTTAAGATGGCTGTGTTTTCTTTGCTCTGCTGCAATTATTCAGCATACAGCTCAAGCATGGAGTGGCCCTTATGTGTGATAATTAACAGTATGGTGAATGCTGTCTCCAAGGTGGGAACTTATTGATACTCCATTATGAACACATTAGTTTAATTATTAAATATACCACTTCTCAAGAAATGATTAAACATGGTCTAAAGTTTAGAAGCTCAGCATAGTTTTAATATCATCCATCTTTATGCATGCAGCATTCTTTCTTGTGATTTTGAAATTGCTTTGTTGTGAATGCTATTTCAAAGAATTTTGCGAGCATTGCATATTTAGTGGTGCCAGTCTTTGTATTTGTATGATTAGAATGCTGGGTATGAATAATAGTACTGGTTAACTAAGCTTGATGACTTTTCCCCCCTTTGTAAATTAGTTGCTTTGCTTCCAGTCTTAACTGGATCAGCAGTATTGCTGATTATTATTGTAACAGATTCATGTCTGGGTTCAATTCTGTAAGGCGGTGTGGTAGTTTAGTCACTGTTTTGGAAAGTTGTGTATAGTTAGGAAAAGCGTTGGACACTTGGAATAATTTTTGGGGGGAAGTTTATTCACAAGGCCCAAAGATGAAGAAGAATTTTAAAAAGTTAGTAGACTTCTAGTAGTAGAATCTGTTATTTTTTTCAGTCTCTTGCATTTTCTACAGTCTCTGGAATCTTCTGCGGTTGTTGCAGATATCCGTGTTTGAATTTAAAACTATTGTGGACTATTTACTTAATTATTAAAGATTAACATTGTGGTTTCCTCCAGTCTTTTGTTTAAAGGGCTTGCCTATTCAGGATTGGTGCAGTTAAAAAAAAAATGTTTACAGCTTCTAGGCAGGACCTATTCAGAACTTCTTAAGGACACACATCCCCCTGGCTGTTTTTTCCTGTCGTTTCTGAAAATCTCAGCTTTAGCAAAGATTTTTATTCTTGGGAGAAGTAGGTGTTCTTTGCACAACTGCAACATTAAAAACAGTCCTATGCAAGATATCCATTTAAGGATTCAGCTCCAGATCTGAAACTTCCTGATCGGATAATGGCATCTAGAGTGTAGCTTCTGAGGTACAGAGAGACCTCGCAAACATTCAGATAATGTGAGATTTTTTAAATAATTTGAATGTACTTCAGCTCACAGTCAGTACTGTTATCACGCAGAGTTTGATTCTGAGCCCAGGCATCTGTCTTTGTGGAGTGTGCATGCACATTGTATTTCACCAGGCTGTCTGGTTTCCTGCAGACTGTTGCGTTGTCTGTTCTTAAATGTCCGTTTCTGTCTGGCTCTGGCCACTCATGCAATAGCTTTTTGACCAGGGGGGTCTACAGCTTTGCACCCTGTGCCTTCCACGACAGCCTTCACTAGGATAAGCAGGCTGCTGATGATACATGTTGTGCATTATAAATGTTAGCCCACTTTCTGCTCTACTGTTGTTACTGATATCGTTAATAGTATACAAATGAAACTAATTGGTTCCATTATGGATATGTCGTTTGCCTTAAGCTATGGCTTCTTCAGCTTCTTGGGCTGCATACTAAGCAGAACACGAACCACAAAGTTTCATTCAGCCCGGACGGTCCAAAAACATTTAGAGAATATTTTCAGGGTTGGGTTTTTAGGAACAGTTATGAATTAACCAGGACTTAATTTCTCAGGTCTGTGCTTTTCAGGCAGCCAGATAATTGTTCAGATGGGAACCAGCAAGAGATGAAAATTTTTTTGGGGGAAAAAAAGGTAGTATTGAGAATGAACAAGGAAAGGAAGGATGTAATAATATTTCTATAAAAAACTTTGTAGGTAAGCTGTCCAGAGCCTAGCTGATGACTGCTTGGCTGTGACCTTTTCATTGCCCATGGTTGTCCTTTTCATTGTCCATAGTTTACTGTGGGGGTAAACTGAGAGGTTCATGCAAGGTAACAAGCAGAGATGCTTCAATGGGAAGCTGAACAGACTGGGGTCACGGTGGTTGATTGGTTTGAAAAAGCCCAGAGTGCTCATTTATAATGCAGATCATTCTAAAAAGGGATAGAGTTTGCCGAGTTATTGGTTTAGCTTTGCGGTAACAGAATACAGCAGGCTTGCTTTGTTCTTGGCAAATATTCTTAAGATTGCAACTGTGGGCCGAGTCCATTATGAACCGTTTCACGCCTAAACCTCCATTCATTTTTTATAATTGCGCGTCCTGTGCCAAATGAAGCCCATTTCTGAAACCGACAGCCGATAGGTAGTGATGTATTAACAAAACCGGTCTTCCATGACCAGAATGCACAAGGACAAGATCTGGCCAGCCGTTGAAAGCTTTATTTATGTTGCATGTTTAAAGAAGAAAAAATAACCTGTTTCGCTTCAAGAACTCATTATCCCCTATTCGCATTGTTGTTGTTTTTTTTTATTCCCGTATTGTCCTGAAGCTTCAGATTGACCGTTTTGGGGGGAAAAAAAGGGGGCGCCGTATCAGAAATGAAATGAATTGGCTTTCCAATTGACCGTTCATACTGGGGTTTTTTGTCTCGGTATACACACAGAAAAGGATGGCTGCTTTGTGCTAATAATGTATTCACTCTTTCAGGTCTGCCACAGCGATTGGAGTCCCACCCACTTGCTTGAAAATGTGATGCGCTGCCTGCTTGCTGTCCCACAAGTCTGCTTGAAGAAGAAGCCGTAGGTCCCGCGAGTCGGAGGGGTCGGGATGGATCGGAACAAGCGGAACTCCATCGCGGGGTTCCCGCCCCGACCGGATCGCTTCGAGGATCCGGAGGGGGGCAGCGGCGGCGGCGGGGAGCCCCCGGCCTCCCACGCGGGGCGGGTGTGCTCCTCCTCGTACCGGGCCCTCATCAGCGCCTTCTCGCGCCTCACGCGCCTCGACGACTTCTTCTGCGAGAAGATCGGCTCCGGCTTCTTCTCCGAGGTGTACAAGGTCAGCGCCCCCCCGTCGAGCGAGGTGTAACGTGAGGGAGTTCTGAACCCTGAACCCTGAACCCTGAACCCTGAACCCTGAACCCTGAACCCTGAACCCTGAACCCTGAACCCTGAACCCTGAACCCTGACCTGCCCCCGCCTGCCCCTTGTGGCTGGCCTGCCACTGAACTAGGGCACTATCCTGGCATCCCGGCAGATGTAAAGCTTGCCGTTGGAGCTGAACACCTAAAACGAAAAGGTTTGGCTCTTGAGCGATGAGTTTCCGCTGATGAGGACTCCATGATTTTAAACTGGAAGAGAATTTGAATGAAATAAAGCGTTTTTGCTTGTTTGCAGCAGTTAAGAATAGGAAAACAGTTTACCACATACCTCAACCTGCAGTTTGCTTGCGGTGGGGTTTTTTTTTTTTGGCCGCGAGGTTTAGCCAATGTTTTGAAAAAATGCCAGCTTTTTATATCTTTGTGGCGGCAGTTGACAGACGTTTAGGAGCGCTAGATGAGTTTGCATAATTTTGAGCGAGAATGCTTTTGACCCCGAGCTTCTGTGTAAGACTGATGCAGCTGTTCAACGTCGTTTTCCCTACTTTAAACTCAAAGCACACGTCCTTTCTTCTAAAAGGAGAAAACCTTTATACAGAAAGGGAGCTAGCTTGAAAAAAGTTGTAGGATACCTTCTTTAAAAGCCTGAGTGATCTTGTGCTCATTCAGTGACTGAGTAGTGGCAACTGTGGACTCATTCTTTCGTGGGCCTAGCTGCCAGGCAAATAAGATCTTCTTACAGTTTGACAGGGCTCAAAGGGTCTTCAAAGAGCACTGCAGGGGAAAAGGTGACATCTAGATTTATGCAACCAATGGGACTGGGAGTGAAATAATAAAAGGCTTCATACTCTCTTTTCATTTTCCAGCGTTGTTTTTACAAACCACGTAGTCAGGGCTGCCCAGTTCAGATATGCGCGGAGGTTGTTTTTGGTGACAGTCCGGGTGCTTTGAGCAGTTTTTATAGGAACCCCTGTACCAGCATAAACAAATCCATGTTGCTAAGCAACGTTTGTGCTGTATCTGGGCTCCCGGCAAGCGTATGCAAATAGCCAAAGCCTGTTTTCGGCACATTTGTGTAATGTCACGTGGCTTTTCAGAATGTCTAAATTCTACTTGTACTTTTTTTTTTTTTAAAGATTGAGAAGTCAGCAAAGATGGTAGGGGAGGCCGGGGGGGATTCCCTCGAACTCGAGCTGGTGACTTTTCTGACTTCAAAGATGATAATTTCAGAATTTTGCACGGTCCAAGTAAAAGCAGTTTGTTGCTGTTTCTGTCCTGGCTGCAGTGGATGACGTGACGTGCGGAGCTTAAGAGATCAGACAGGATCTCCCATGCTGCACTGCAAAAGGAACGTGCTCGTTGTCGGCAGGTAGATCTGTGGGTTGGTCCCTGCCATCGTGGGATGGCCTGAGTCAAAAGGGTTTGAACTGAAGTGTGGTCCCCAGTAATCTCAGTAATACTAGCAGAAGCCTCTTAGTGGGTTCAGACCATCGCTAAATGCTGAGAAGGCTTACGTACTGTGAAGGAAGTGGGGTCAAAAAGGGTTAATACAGAGATGTGTGCTGTGGGTGCTTTTACTCCTCACCTGCGGGTGTGCAAGTTGAAGAGATGCCAGGAAACAGCGACTATTTATATTGGCTTTTTTTTTTTTAAATCATCATTTAATCACAAGAGTTGGTCGGTTATGAGTTGACAGAGTATTGCCGTTGAAACGAAGGAAATATTGCTCAACAGCCATGCTAACAGTGTTGCGGGAAATTCCCTCTTTAGCGCATGTTGAACAATAGGTGATTTCCATATGTATGAATACAGAGTGGTTTGTATCGAACAAGCCTAGTGATGTGTAACACTGAAATCTTTTTTGTGTGCTCTGTTATTGGTGCAGTTTGTTGTGTAGAAAGGAACACATGTATACCTTCTGTGGCCAGAAGTTTGAAAGAGGTAATGGTTAGAGTGGAATACTAGAAAGTACCAGCCATATGTTCAAGCAAATTTAAAGAGTCCCCAGGAGAATCCTAAGAGACTGCCTGTAGGAAATGGTCCTTGAAAGACCTGTGACCTTCTCTTTGCTCAGTCTTTACCTGATGCTGTTTGGGACCTTAGAAATGCAGAAAAGGCAGCTTATTTTATTTTTGACAGAAAATGTAGCATAGCTGGACCAGGTTTATCTGAAAGCTCCAGGGAGCACAGCAAGAATAGCGCTTGATTTATTCTCTCAGCCTTTAGGTTTATCTCCCTTAAAAATGACTGCCTTCAGCACCACGATTTAGTGCAACTGTAACCACTTGCTAATGATGAAAAAACAAAGCTTTTTAAAACTAGAGTTATAAGCCATTTTGTCTTGGCCAGTATCTGTAGACACTGAAGGAGGGCTGGAGAACCAAAGTATGCTACTTCCCATGTTGGCAGAGGCCTGTAGAATTGTGAATATTTTAAGTCATGTGCATTTTCAGTCTGATTAACATTTTGCTAAAAAGCCTATGGTCTTCCAAATATTTAACATCTGCACATCTTTTTCCTTGCATTTCTTTTATTTTTTAGTTTTAAGGGATTTCATTTTCCTCCTGTCCACAACAGAAACGGGTAACAGGTTGCATACAGGAGGCCTCCTAGCTACAGGGGGCCCAATGATGACAGAGAAAAAAAGGAATTGCGTTAATAGCAGGTGGATGTCTGTGTTTTGTTCGTTCTGTTTAGGTACCTGCAACAGTTACTAGAAGCAAGCACCTGCAGCATTTCACATTGCATTGCTTACAGTCTCCATGTCATGTGCACTGTGGTCCAGACTAGTTCTCCTTTTTGGTGGTTAATATTTGAAACGTTTCTCTGCACACTCTCTCTTCTGCCTCTGCAGAGATGACAAATTCTAACTACAGAGTCACGTTATCCCTTCTAAATATTAACTTGTAAATTCTGTGACCGGGCGGTGTGAATATCAATTGATGTGGGGCACAAGTTTCTTCTTGCTTATTCAGCTATGAGCCGTTACCTAAAGTAACAGTACCTACAGTGGCCTTAAATCTCTCGGTAGCAGCCTAAACCACAGCCAGAGGACACAGGTGGAAACTGGATGGAAGTGTATTTAATACTGAGAACAGGAAGCAGTTCTTTACCCAAAGGGTTGTGGGGTTTTAGGGAGTCTAAAACAAGCCTCCTGGCTGTGTGGTTGAAGCAGATACCTTGGCTTCAGTCAAGAAACAGCTGAGTGGGACTCTTAGATCAGTAAGCTACAAAGCTACTATCAAACAGGTGAGATGGGTGAGAGATCTTTTTTGCAACAGTTATATGCAGATGTAAACCACCTTCCCAAAATATTTGGGGGCAATGTGGTATTGGGGTGCTGAATTCCTACGAGGATATTGTCAAAACAGGAACAAATCATAAGAAGGAAAACTGCATCATGATGAGTTTTTGCCATTGGCACATTATAGTTAATTTAGGATTGTGAAATCCAATGTAATAACCTCATGGTCTATAAGGGAGGATACATTAAGAATGTATCTCCACTGTTGCATAGCATGGAATGTTTTAAGTTTTGCATGTGATGAGCATGTGAGCAGGTTCCTGATTCTTCTTGTTGGCCGCTATTGCTGGAGAGAAACCACATCTATTTGAGGCCTTGGTGCGATAGCGTTGCGACAGACAGCTCTAGCCTGCCCAGCGTCCTTCATGGTAGTCTGGGCTGAAAGCGTTGCTCTGGGCAGGCGTGTTTGCTTTGCTGGTTTTGTTTTGCTCTCTCTCCGAAGCGTGCCAGCGATCCTTTCTCTGCAGGACCGCATCTCTGCTGAAGGAAGTAAACCTGGCAGATATACTGTAACAGCGCCTGTTTATTTTTGCACACTGACACAAGTATTTCCTGTGGTCGTCCTTCCTTCTCCGAGAAGAGGCTGTCGAAATGCGGCAGTAAAAGCCTTGCTTTAATTTCTACGGGTCTGATTGAGTCGATGCTGATGCTTCGCTGACCTCAGTTTAAAAACCCATGTGAAGGGGGTACCAGTGGGCATGTACGCTGAAATTGATCTTTGGCATTCGGGTGTTCTGTCCCTACGTTTCTGTTATGGGGAGCTTTCAAGAAGAAGCTGCATGAAGAAAAGAAAGGTAGAACTGCAAGGTTCCGAGTTAAAGGCACCACTTAATCAGTCTAGTCTTTAAATGGGAAAGATTAATCACAGTCTCCCTCACAAATACCTCCCCACCATAAACTAATGACATAACTGCTTTGCAAAACACAGCAGCTTGATTAAGGATGACACCCTCACTCAATCTTAAATGCTGCTCGGTAGTTCAGATGCTAAGTACCGTCATACAGCTGTCACAGTGTCATATCTGTGGAGGATGTTCTGTATTGGTCGCTTCTTATAGATTGGATTTTTAGTAATGAGACTACGTAGATGGGGAAGTTTCCTGATTACAGGGTAATTTTTGGGGATCCTTTTTCAGGGCCAGTTAATGGATTTGATGAAAATACTCGTGATTCCTTTTTATGTGTGTTCTTTGGTGTTCAAAATACAGTGAGTGGCCACCATTTAGAAAATTAAAATTGACCAGTAGTGTTTCCAGTACACAAAGTGATTTTTAAACTTAAGGCAGACACCTGCCATTTGTATACTTTCTGGTTGGATTGTAGCTCTTTCAAAGCAAACTAATGGTAGCCCTTCTAAAATGTTACTTATTATGGCTCATTGCAGCTAAAACTAAACATTTTGATTGCTGTAGTTTTAAGTAAGAAGTTCAAAGGCAAGGGACTTATTTTCTTTGAAGTGCAAAATTATAATGACATCATTAAAGAGTACTCCATGACAGTCCAACATTAAAGTTTAAATATTAAGTACTAGAGAACTGTTGATATACTTCAAGGAACATTGGCAAGCATGGTTCATACAGTGTGGTTGCTTTTGTTAAAAGAAAAACTCAAATGTCTTCCCTTTTGGCTTACTTTTGGCGGTGTTCAGTCATGGATTTTTGTTGTGATGCCTTTTCCCAGCGGTATAAACTATAGTAAAAATCATCACGGAAATTTGGAGGAGGTTTATTTTTTTTTCCCATCGGTCTATTTTAATCTGGACTTGCAGCTGGGTGGGGGGGGCAGCTTGCTATAAATTCCTCTCTCGTTCGTGACTGTATCTGTAGCAGTGTGTAAGATGATGTGTCGTGTTAAAACGAAGAGCTGACGAGGGCTGCTGCTTCTGTCTGTGCTGCAGGTGCGACACCGAACCTCTGGCCAGGTGATGGCCCTGAAGATGAACAAGCTGAGCAGCAACCGGGCGAACATGCTGAGGGAGGTTCAGCTCATGAACAGACTCTCGCACCCCAACATTCTCAGGTATGCTAAACTGCCCCCAAAAACGGAGCACCTTGCTGTGTGTGGTGCTGTTGATCATCCGTGTTGAACACCAGGTTAACATATAAACTCCACACAGATAGCACCCCAGGTCTGGATTTGAACCAGGGGCCCCAACGCTGTGAGGCAGCACTGCTTACTACTTGCTGTGCCGCCTTGATGTGCAAGACGTCATGAAATATCTCAAGCCAGAGAGTGCTTCACCAGTAATACTAGAAAGTTCATCTATCCATCCATTTTTGAACTGACTTATCCAATACAGGGTCGCAGGAGAGCCGGGGCTTATCCGGGCAAGCAGTGGGCGCAAGGCAGGATAACACACCCTGGACAGGACACCTGTCCAGCACAGGAACAACACCCACACACACCAACACAGGGAGAACATATAGACTCGCGCAGATAGCACCCCACCCAGGTCTGGAACCGAAAGCGCTGTGTGGCAGCAATGCTAACTACTGTGGCAAGGTTTCTTGGAATGTGAATAATAAACGCCTGTGACGCTGAAGAGGAATGTTGATTTTCTTTTTACTGAAGGAGAAAAACTTTCAGTTTCATGTTATTAGAAGGAGGCTTTTTTTTGCATTCAAAATGTCCTTTTGTCATTGTTGCATTTAGTTTAGTTATTTGCATTTATTTTCATGATTACAAGGAAAAATAGCTTTTGCATCGTTGAAAGAAACCACAAAATCATTTGGGGATTTACTTTTCGTAAATGTTGTGTCCCTTTGCAAAGACAGTGAACTAGTAAGTCAGTCTTCTGGGGATGGTAATAATTCTTTTAGATGGAGTAATATGCTGCCTGTACCATTCAATAAAGAAAGGCTACAGGGTTTCTATAAATTGTCAGAAACTGTCAGAATGACCCGTTCACAAAACAAGCAGACATGCCCTGCTTCATTGCAACATCAGTGCACTTTTGAACCTTGTGTGTCCCAGGTTTTCAATATTCAGCTCAGTCCCTTTGTAGATCATGGTCCTTTTTGTGCTCTGTATTTGAAATTGCACATTGCTTTTGTCGGTCTGTTTTTGCAATGGAAATAATGCTTGCTGACCTCTTTGTCTTTCCCATTAGAGAAAACAGGTCAGGGGCCTATTAACAATAGATGAGTTTAAACGAGCTCCAGAGGTTGTGTTGCAGTCTTTGGGGTTTGCTGCCTTTCAGGAAGCACACTCACAGTTTCACTTTAATTGTTTTTATAGGATAATTTGTCTTGTGACAGAGGCGTGCAGGATAGTTCAGTGATGTTTTATGTTCTTGCGATGTTGTAGGACAATGGATTTTGCTGTGAAGAAATGCCAGTGTCAGATTAGCTGTAATCTCTTGACTGTGTTTCATAAGGGGCCCTGCTGTGGTGTAGAAGCTCAGCTAATGCCTGAAATCCTCTTTTTCATCTTTTTTTCTTTGGAGTCTGTTCGGCTGCGTAGTAAGTTTCCTTTGTTTATACAAGGCCACATTTCTCTAAAAATAAGACTGACATCACACGCCAAAGCTCTAAATCTAGAATGAAGCGAACTGGCTCAATGCTTTTACAATGGTTATGCAGGAATATCATAAAACACGGAAGGCAGTCTTCCAACATCTGATATTGACCTGGAGGTTGTTTTTTTTTTTTAAACCCACGCTACGAAAGCCACCAAGATGGTTCCGAGTGTAACCGGTGTTGCATTCTAACTTTACAGCAGTGCAAATCCTGGCTCAGTTGTCCCCCTATGACTCTTGACAAGCCGTCATGTGCTCAGTGGATGGTCGCTGCTTGCGTATGAGCAGTCTCTGCGTGTATAAAGTGTCAGTGCAGTGAGCGAAGAGCGTGCTGTCAGTGAATGATTCACGAGGACAGTGCCCTGGCAGAGCTGGAGGCAGTAGGTCAGAGGGAGAGGGACTGATTCCACTCAGGCACCCGTTAAAGGAAACGTTCCACGTTTCCAAACGCTAATTTAATGCTTCTGTAGAAAACGGGTTAAAAGGTCGACCTGAAAATAAGAGGAATGCGTTCATAGCTATGTTTTTATGGCTTACAACCCCAAGGTTGGGAGATTTATTTTTTGCTGTACAGCTCTTTGGAGAGCTGTGTTCAAGAAGCGCGCTGGCAGAAGGAAGACGTAACTCCGCAGACTCGTCCCCTCGGTGCTGTTCTGCTCTGCTGTGCTTGAAAAGGAAGTGCTGTAGGTTCGGAGTAAATGTGGACCAGATGTTTAAGAACTTCTTCAGTGTCTTTCATAGCAGCAGTCTGGCCTGCGTGTCCGACACATGGCTGAAAAATGAAAGCAGCGTACCGTTAAACAGTCCAAAAAAGCTGTTTTAAAGCTTAAAGTCATTTTTATCTTATAAAGCTTCCCGTTTTTGAGGACCAGAGAGCTTTGGCCTGGTTGCGTTACCTGTAGCTGGAGTGATTCATGACCCGCCTTCGCTCTCTCCCAGTTTGTGTACAAGAACGCCATTGTGCTCTTTGTTCACGGCAAGTGCCAAAACCTGCCCTGGTCCAGCTCTTTCCATCCGGTGCAGCAGCTCAGTGTAAACTCACTGCTCTGTTGTACGAGCTCGTGCCGCGCAGGCATGACCTCTGCACTGCCGTTCCCTGGCGAGGTAAGAGAGGAGCAGTGTGTTCATAGTCCAATCAGTCTGTTATTAAAAGAGGAGAACTGTGGGGCCCTTGTGCTAAGGCTTGCAGCTTCAGGTTTATGGCTGTGCTGCGCTTAATGCGCTGTCATCTGCACAGTGTCTGGCTGCCAGGTTAAAGAGGCAGAGGCGATGAAATCACTCTGAATTCTCTGAAGTCCTCCTCTTTAAAACCGCATTTTTCTCTGATGTGTGAGTAAGGGCAAGGAAGGTGCATGGAGGAGCAGGGATCAGGGATAGGCCTGCCTGTCTTCAAGAGTTGTGTTGATTTTACTTGGGCCCCTCAGTCACATCTTGATTGCACTTCAGGGAGTAATTAACCCTTGATATACTAAACGACAGGTCTGGGGTTAGACTCTGACCATAGAAGGGAAAGTTATGGCCTTGGCAGCCTCCTTTAATTTGTTCAGTGTCACAAGAAAAGGAAATATCTGGTCAGTATACTGGGCCAAAAATTGTTGCCCCCTGGATTTAAACACATGGACACAGACTCCATCCATAAATCTTGTGCAGCGCTGTTGGTATACCAGAGAGCTGGTGTTCAGTGTCTGTGTACTCCTGTTGAACCAGAATTATGGCCCGTAGTAAAACACACACATCAAACTGTCTGTGTCAGGGTTCACTGGAAGAAGTTAAATGCCCTAGGTTTTTTTTATGTAGTCTGGAACTTTACAATGTTTTTCATTGCAATCGCAATACCTTTCTAGCTTCACAAGTACAAATTGATTTGAGTAATGGTTTCATATTAATAGATCGCAACTCTATATAAACTCATTCCTCTATCACGGGGCTCTAATTTTATTTGGCATAACTTGAGAGACGGGAGTAGTTTCTGTCTCTGCAATCCGTATTTTGGGTTTGAAACAAGGACCATGTCTTATTTCCCTGTCCAGGGTGTGACTGGATTTGGATTGTTAATTAGGTTGTTCATTTGTTGGCTGCCTGATGGCTGCGTTCGTTTTATTATCATTGGGAATCTGCAGTGTAAGAGCTGTCTGTTAATTATGGTCTTGAGCCCATTGTTGATCGGGACCATGTGTCACTGGGGGAGTGGTGATATGCCGAGTTAAGATGCCTGCCAATTTTGTGACAAGAACCATTATAGTGTTTGGCAACTCAAAAAGGAAGTACAGTTCACTGCTTAACAAATGTTACACACTGTGGAAGTCACAATCACAGAAGTCCGACTGAAAAGTGTTTAAAAAGAAGTAGAGGAATATAAATAGAAGGGACTGTAGATTCTTAAGCAATAGCAATTAGACCCTGTGCTGTAATTATTTTATAGATGCAAGGTAAAAGCAGAGACCTTTGACAGAAGAGGTATTAACAAGTTATTTGGTTGAGATGCAGTGGATGAATAAACTATTTTAAATTACCAGAGTCTTTGCAAGAAGGTAAAATGAGGTAGCCAGGGGAGTCCTGAGTCATTCTGTTGCTGTGGTCAAAGAGCCTAACCTGTCACAACCACGCTTTTGAAGAAGAGCTCTCCAAGGCCTTGTAGGTATTCTTTTAGGAGTGATCCCTATGACTAGGCCCCAAATATGTTCATGTTTTCTTCCTTCTTGTATTAATAATCTCATGAGTGCCATGGTAAATAAAACTCATACTGGTTTCTTAGCCCTCTTGGTGAAAAATGGGGTATAATGAGCATAGAAGGACAGGTTGTATTATTTGTGCTGATTGCAGTGTCTTTTTTTT